CCCATCATCATGGAATCATGAATCACCGGGCGCTCTTCTCCCTCGGGGAGGGGGACCCGCACATCCGGTTGCAACGGGGGGAGGCCGTACACCGAGGGGTTGAACTCATCCAGGGAGGTGCCAAAATGCCGGGCGAGCCTCCGGTAAACCAGGTGCTGGGTGAAGAACTCGCCAGCTTGATAGTAGGTGTCACCCCTCTCATTCATCCAGTCGAGCCCGGGGCCCCTCACCCACTCCTCGATCGAGGCCTTCACCACAGAAGCCACCCACTCGCTCTGGCCCTCGGCTTTCCAGCCCTCGGAGGTGAACCCAGCAATGGCCTCTTCTCGAGCTTTGGCAGCAGCTTCAGCTTTGGCCTTCTCGGCGTCCTCGGCAGCTTGTTTTCTCTCCTCGGCCGCAACCCTCTCGGCCTCAGCCCTGCCCTCGGCCTTCCCATCTTCTCTGGCCTCCTTCAGCCGCAGCTCCGCTTGCCGAAGGGCATCCTCCAACTTGCACACCTCCCGAAGGGCAGCGTCCTTGTCGCGAATCAGCTCCTCCACGGACCTCTCTAGCTCGGCCTTATGACGACACCACTCCTCTCGCCTTCGGGCCTGCTCACCGAAGGTTATGCATGCCTGTTGAAAAACGGACAGAGGGTTCAGACGGGCATTGGGATTATGATAAAATATTGAGATCAAGTCAAAGTAGAAACACTTACAGTCAGAGCTGATCGAAGGGCCCTGGCTTCGAGGGCGTCATCGTTATAGGTGGAGAGGGCTTCTTTGTCCATCATCGAGGTAATCCCCCTCAGGAAAGACAACGGCTCGGCTGAACCGTGCAATACGGATGCCCCCGGAACGAGGGAGAGCCGAATAATCTCCCGAGGCATCTTCCCCGAGGGAAGGTCCGTCTGAGCCATCGGAGTATCAATTGCCGGGGGGTCAGCGGAGGGCTGATCATCGAGTATTATGAGGGGGGCCGCCTTCTCAACGGCGTCCCCGGCAACCTTCTGCTTCTTGATCGGGGGCTCCACCCCCTTGCCCCCCTTCTTCTTCTTGGCTGCCACATCAGCCTTCGGCCCCCCGGCCGCAGTAACGGGACAGCAGCAGCTGAAGGCTCTGCGGTCTCCTTCGGGAAAACCTCATCAATGGGTTTTTGACCCGAGGGCTCTGTCTTCTCCTTCTTCTGGGCTTGCGCCCTCTCCTTCTTCTTCTTCATTGCGAAGAGAGCCTCCATACCTGCAAAACAAAGCAAAGAGAATGTTAACCCGAAGGGTTCATACCAAAATCAACTATCGGGATGCAAAATGAAAATGCCTAAGTAGGAGACCAGGGGCCCTCGTAGCCTACCTCCTGCTCCCCCGAAGGCCTCAGTGAAGACAGGGTACTTCTCATCTACTTCCCCGATGAACCGGTACCGTCGGAACCCGAGGGCATGCAAGTCTTCCTCAAAGGTGCATTCTTTGATCGTCACGACCTTCGTCTTGCCCTCCGGAATCTTGGCGAGTTTCAGGCCATCCTTCTCTAGGGCAGCACTCCCCACCCTCTCGTGGCGCCGAAAGCGGCCCCGTAGCTCCTTCGGGAAGGGATTCTCGGCCAGCCGGACGTAGCACCATCTGTCTTTCCAGCCCTTATTGGACGAGGGCGCCTCGGTAAACAGCTTGAACTTTGCTACCTGCTGTAAATTGGCGAAGCCCTAGGCATTCGCGTGCCCCCCCGGCACAACTTGAAGCTTTGAAAGAAGAGGTCCAAGCTTGGGGTAACACCCCTCGTCTGGCACAGGTGCAGAAAGCCAGCAATGTATGAATGGCTATTGGGGGTAAGTTGGCAGGGGATGAGTCCAACAAACCGGAGGTACTCCCGGAGGAATGGATGCAGGGGGAATCGGAGGCCCATGGACACTGACAGGATGTGGACGGCAATGCATCCCTCCGGAGGCCGGGACAGCAGATCATCGACGCTTGGCTCCACCACTACGGCCGAGGGCCCAACGTGCAGCTGCATGACGTACAAGTCAGCCCTGTCCGCCTTCGACTTAATATCGAGGGCCTCGGTGTTTAGCCAGGTATACCCCTCTGGCATTTCAACAGGCCCCCCGGCACCAGCGGCCACACTTTTCTTCTTAGGGGCAGCCCTCTGCGACTTTGTCTTCTTTTTACCGGGGGCTATCCTCAGAGGCGTCGGGTCCAACGGCCTGGAGGTGCTAGGCTCACCACAGTCAGTCCGAGGGGTTGGCACAGCAACAGTAACCATCATCGCCTCCTTTTGGGCTTCGTCCTCCGCCACCTGACACGCGAGGGCTAGTTCTTCATCTTCGCACTCCTGTTCGAAGCCCTCGGCTTCCACCTCAGCAGCCAGGGCCTTCTGCAACTCCAAGGCCACGGCTTCGTCATCGGCAACCGAGGGCGCACTGCTGCTTGACTCGACATCGGAAGCAACCTCATCCTCAACCGAGGGCTCCCTCGATATATTCTGGGAATCACTCTCGGACGACATTCTTTGCCAAAAAACGTGCCTAAAGTTTCGAAGGATTTCTACGGAACCCTAACCCTAAACTAAGGCCAGAGGGTGGAACTTGCAAAAAGTGTTGAGGAGCGAAGGGAGAACTAACCTCTGAAAGTGCTGTGACCGAGGGCTCGAGTTTCTCTCTCTAGAATTTTTGGCAGAGCTTCGCTAAGGATTTTTGAACGCGTAAGGAAGGAATGGCTCTGGCTCCGGGGTATTTATAGACCCCAGAGTCCGGGCTTGGGCCCGAAAACCGGACCTCCGGGTGGATGCCATCATTACACGCCGCATCTTCACCCAACCCGTGATGCCGCCCACGGACAGCCAGCCATCACACGCCACATGTGCCACCCCCCCCAACGGCTATATCCTGTCGTTACATATTCCAACGGCTATATTTCCAACGGCTATATTCTGGAAGCCCCCGGGTTTTCTACTTCACTCCACTTCATCAAGGATAGCCTCCGGGTACACTCACTCAGAAGTGCCCCCGGGTTGCGCCCACACAGCACATAACAGTCGCCTTCGGGATCACTCCTTCAGATCCCTAGGGCTGCATATCAGGGCACCCCTCGGGGTTTCCCCCTCAGCACTGCAAAACCGGGTAGCCCCCGGGGAGTGCCTCATTGACGGATGGCCCATGGCCCTCGGGTATCTTCATCACCAACTCATCAACAAACAGTGGACCCCCCGGTAACAACTTCACTGCTGCCCTCATCTGGCAGGCCCTCGATCCCTGGATTGAGGGGCTCCCCTTCGGCGACACCAGGACATCAACAGCAAGCCTTCGGCTAATCAACACAGGAGCCCTCAGAAGAGAGAGCCTTCGGCATTCCCGTCATTCTCCGATTCTTACCAAGGTTTGACATTTTCGATTCATCATTGGGGGAATTCGGTGCACTCTTTTTCCCTCATTAGGATTTTTTCCCAAAGGGTTTTTCCTAATGAGGTTTTTAACGAGGCATCCCCCCAAAATGAAACGAAAAACGTCAACCTTCGGCCCACAACAGCAACATAACTACTTTACTCCTTTTCACCACTCTACGAGTGCCTCAAGGAGTGGGGGACTGGAGGACCCCCTCGGGAAAATCATTAAATTACAAAATCTGTGAAATTCCAACAAACAACAAAGCAAGCCCTCAAGTCCCGACATGTGGGTAACTGAGGGACTGCCTTCGGCAGGGACATAAAAGCAACAACTCCTCACCAACTTCAGAGATCATGACGGGACAACATCAAAGGGCAAGCACAAATTACTCCTTTTCCCTCAAGTACCTTTCGGCAAAAGGAGTGAGGGACTCCTGATGGAGTATATGGCCCGGGAACCCCCGGCCCACAGACTCCTACTACTCCAGCAAAGGCCCAACAGGCCCAAAAGGCCCAACAGGCCCAAATCACAACGCCCAGAGTACCAAGCAGCCCGCACTACGCGCCAGGGGTGCCTTCGGCCCCCCGGCCGAAGGCTCTAAATTCTCACAGAACGGGTTTCTCAAGCAAACTAAGAAACTGGGAGAAAACGGCGAAAACAGTAGCCCTCGGCACTGTGAGCCCTCGGCACCAGGGTGCCATCGGGTGGAAGAGCCCTCGGCTACTGCTCTATAGCCGAAGGCATCTCACTCGACAAGATATCCGCCTCACATGCGTACAGATCACCGTACCCCGCATAGACGTCCCATCCAACAGCCGCATTAAATGCGGCCACATGCGGCTGCCAGCGCCAACCAGTTGAGGTGACCCCTCGGCCAATGAGCGCTTGACACGTGTCCCTGCCCGGCATTTATTGCTACTATAAATAGCACCCCTTTTCCCCATTTGTAACCAAGTCATAACACACTGAATACACTCTCTCTCTACTTTTACTTACTTGCTCTGACTTCTCTCTAAATTATTCCCCGTAATAACCCTGCGGATATATACCCCCGGGTAGACTATCCATCAGATAGTCTCATTTCTTTTGGGCACAAGTTTTAATAAAGTAATTGAAAAGGTAAAAGTTGTGGTTGAGATTGTAGTATAATAAAGTAAAATGGTATGGACCACATCTTTCTTTCCAAAAAGGGAAACATGACCATCATTTTAGGACATCCCAAAAAAGAAATACAGGACTATCTTTTTGGGACGGAGGGAATACTTTACATTTTAAAACTTACGAATTCAAATTAGTAATATGTTGAGATGTTTCGAGTAAACTACATAAACAATATTTTGATTATGGGTATTATCGCGGTTTAGTACGTTAACGGTTAAATAAATCAAATCAGTATAATAAATATACATAAATGTTCCAACTAACAATACCTACATTATTATTCAAATTTACGGTCAAAAAATCCTACTAGTGGCCACAATTTCATGCGTAAAGTCCACTTATGTTACTATTGAGCATGACTCACCGAAGGGTGGACTCTAAGTCTCTAACGCATAAAATTTTGGTCGTCCTATAGATATTTTTGGCTAGTAATTCGAATCGTATTGTCAGTTGAAACATTTATACTTATATAATTATAGTATTGATTTGTTTCGTTTAAGAGTTGATGTACGAAAATCTAACAATACCAATAGTTAAAGTTAATATTTATACATTTCACCCACAATATTTCTAGTGGATAGTCGATCATGTCAACCATCTACAAGCATTGGGTATAGTACAAGCATTTGGTACAATAACCCTAATCTTGAGTATCGTATCCATTCCAGCAATAAACTAGCCATCAGATGGAATCGTTCATTGCCTTATATTGCTAATTGCTATGATTGCAATAAATACACACTTGCAAAAAAGACAACAGAAAGCTTAGCTCGTTTAGTCTATATTCTCATTTGGGTTGTTTGCATAATCAAAATCAAAACCCATGCCGCCGTAACTTTGATACTCGGAGTCTTGAATACTCCCGAACTGGGCAAAATATGGTGAGTAATATTGATCTTGCATTTGTCGCTGCGGCGGCGGCGTGTGAGGCGGCGCTGCCGCAGTTGGAGGAGGAGAGAGTGCCGATGGCTGCATTAAGGCAGCTTGATTGTAGAGAGCTGAAGTCAAGTAAGGGAATTCAGCGTCGGAGCTGGAAAGAAGCTGAGCGTATTGTTGGAGATAAGGGTAAGCGACGTCCTGCTGGTGGGATGACATCGTCATCGGCAGTTGATGGTTGCCGCTAAGAATTTGAGGAGCGGAGGCGGAGGAAGCTCCTCCGCCTCCATTGTCAGGGCTGATGAAGCATACTTTGGACTTGCCTTGAACCCTTTGGGGGAAGTTGAGCTTAGCCTTGGTGCCTTTGAATTTGAGAGCGGCTTGGTCGTATGCTAGCGCGGCGTCCTCAGCCGTGTCAAATGTCCCGAGCCAAACGCGCGCCGCCTTCTTAGGGTCCCTTATTTCAGCTGCCCATTTTCCCCATGGCCTCTGCCTTACCCCTCTATAATGTGGTCTCGCATTTCCTTCAATAATACACAAAACAAAATAAATATTAGAATATCATCATAGTCTTCATATACAACACTATACTCACTACAGGTAGACTAATGCGATAATTGTGCTTTAAGTATGCTAGTTTTGGTCCATTACTTTTGTTCTAGTGTAGTATTCTTTTATCATTATTTCATGTGTATGTCTTGTGTCTATATATGTCATGTTTTATCATATTTATGTATTGATTAACGCATATTAATATAAAATCTTGCTGTTAGAAATTAGAATTTCTTACTAGATACATAGTATACCATATGAGTTCACATTCAAAACAATTTCATCCACCTTATATTTTGAAAGTAGTCTTGACTGCTAGTTGAAACATTTTCTTTTACATTATTGATATCTTCTCTAGAAGTTATGAAATAATATTGATAGATATACGACTATATCAATGTAACACTCATATACACACATGACACAAACATATATCCATGTATTAGTGAAAACCGGTTGGATAAAAAATGATACGACCACTTTCAAAAATGCTATTTGTTCATTTTGTCTATATGAGGGCAATTCGTCTATATCACATACAATTCATCTAAATCTTAAGAAGTTTTTAACTTGTTGATTATAAATATTTGTGATACAGATAAAATGTACTAAAACGTAGGCACACGTTATGAACACCAAGTATTTTTGGACCACTTAAGAGGGGTGTGTGTTATTAAAGTTAAAGGCTATGTTCGCCGTGCATAAATCTCTGTCTTCTAGCTTTTTTACTATTTAAAAAGTCTTTAAAAGGTTCTAGTTGTATGTTTGGCATGCCAATTTTTAAAAGCTTTTATAAAAATAAAATATCTCTTTTGAGATGCTACAGTGAGTAACATCTCAAATAAGTCAGTAACTTCTAGTATTAATTAGTCTTAACAGCTTGTAAACTAAACAGAGCTAAATCAAACAGTCAGCTTTTTACCAAACAGGTACTGCCTTTTCTTTTTAAGATTTTTTCAGTCACTAAAAGTTAACGGTTACTAAAAAGCTCATAAAAGTATCTTTTCAGCTAGTTGTGCCAAACATATCCAAAATGATGAATCAATAAGATCTTATATGAGTAAAGTTAAGCGATTGGAGGCAATCTTCTCGTGTGGTTTTATATAGCAATCTACTACTTGGACGGCAATTTGGTGGTGTGGTTTGTTTGAGTCTGATCTGGTCTAAACTAGTCTGCTTTGGTCAGGTAAATGTTTGATCTCAATGTATTTTATAACTATGAAGGTCTGATCTGGTCCGATCTGTTTATGTCTGGTTTGGTCTGGGACTGAAAAACAGTTCGGTAAAAACATTCTCAATCCTTAATTCCGTCAATTTTCAATCCTTAATTCCATCAGTTTTCATAAAAATAAGGATATTACGGAGTATATAATTATATTTATGTACTCCCTTTCGTATCAAGTAGATGAGTGTACCTATTCTTTGGTTAATGATGCACATACACCAATATAAATGATAAATTTGTTTAATATATTTTAATTTGTGTAAGGAAAGATTTAAATAATCGCTTCATTCGATCATATGAATAGAAATATTGGTATTCAAATGAAACTAGCTAGTCTAGAATCGAGAAGAGTATAAACGGTATAAACACAGTACACAGAATAAACAAATTAGCGGAATACAGTATGGACATCCACATGGAGCACGTGATGAAGTCTATAATATTGACCGAATTCTTTATTTATAAGTTTGCTTGGTTGTAGGGAAAGTCTATCTTTACGAATTATTAAGGGACATTTGTTTGCTTCCGAATGATAATGATGATAAAATATAATAATATAAGTTTGGATATAATTTTAAGACGTGGGAAAACGACTAGGAAAGCTAGTAATCGAGCTATTTTGGCATTACGAAAAGGTTTAAAACCAGGAGAAATTCTAATAAATAATTAAAAATACAGATTACTATTCTTTTTGCATAACAACAAAATTATTATTTGTATAATAATTTTAACTAAAGTTGTCCCCATAATAAGACAAACAGAGAGAAGGTTCTTTACGGAAAGTTAAGTCTCATGCAATGAACCTCAATCAAATAACCTCTTTACGGACGAGGTACCCAAAGTTTACTAAAAAGGATGACACTTCATCCTTGCGGGCTCCCCAACCTCGATCGGACGTTACGTTTGGAGGATAAATGAGGAATATAATTTTAAAAATGAAATATTGTATTATTGATACAAATACCTATTAAAATGTTTGAAAAGTGCTTTCAATTATGAATAGTTATAAATTACTCCTATTTAAAGAAATATCATAGGAGTAATTCTTTTATTTTGAAACTTCATTCTTTTCACTACTATATTGATATATATCTGCTATATACATAAAGATAAAACATCTCTCTTATTATTCCATCGTCCTGTTAAGATTGTCTCATCTTTTTTTAGTATATTTTCACATCAATTCAAAATCAAACACATAAACTAACTTTTCTTATTAACCGTGTCACCCCATATTTCGTAATGTTAGTGGGACCAGCAGAGAAAGTAACCGACAAGAATGACCGGGAGTTGTGAATTGTATTTATCAGGGAAAAGACTTTTTCTATAATGATCACACCATTCACACAGAAAAGCAATTTCCAAAATGGGAGTATTTGGCATTTACGGATAGCGATTAGCGGATAGCGGGTTATGTTAGTGGATTGCCAATAGCGGATTCAGTCAGCGGGTTTCACTAGCACAATAAGTTGGCGGGGTTGGCATAAGATGTTTGATAATTTAGTTGTTTGGCCATAAAATTAGTAGAAAGCGCCATTTTCAAAACGCCAACTCAAAACTCTTTCATTTCGGTGATTCCATCCAAAAAGGATAGGTCGAATAGCTATTTAGCTGAAACTACATTTTCCAAACACCCCAAATACGTACCGGTATATACTCCATATATATATAATAGGCACTCAGATATACACTAAACAAACTTTAAAAAAAACTTAAAGCTGATTAATCATACAGAAATTTATGCATTGAAGCATAAATGGAAAGGGAAATTTACCCCACTATTACTAAAAGAGAGTTGATTTCCCATGACTTTAAAACTTAATTGATCAATATACGACCAAAAGTTAGTAACCGTGAATACAATAACTGAAAAACAAGCAGAATAATTTTTTTACTTAATGCATATGGAACGTGGGTAGCATCTCATTCTCCCATCAAATTAGGAAAAAAAGTGACTAAATCATAGATTGGGAAAAAGATAATCTTTTAGACTTATTAGAATTATTTTTCTCAAATGGAAAACCCAAAATGATTTTATAGTGAATTGGGTGCATACATTAATGATTTTGAAAATAGGATACAAACTCAAATATCACCCAAAACATGGGGTGCAAACTCAAATTCTCCCAAAATAAAAACACTTTTCTTAATCAAACATGATTCTTTTTTTAGATGGAACAAACACTACATATATATCCATCATTCATTGAATACATCAGGACTCAATGGTGCCATAATTTTACTTAATAGGACAATAAAAATACAAATACTCCATGAAAGTATATGGCTACTGTTTGTTTTTATTCGGGGGGGGGGGGGGGGGGGGGGGCTCCATCAAAATATAATCAACTAACACGAAATAAAATAAAGTTTGTATGATAAAGGTTTTTCATAAATATTATTAAAATATAAGTAATGAAAAAAATATAACTATAATTACTATGCATAGTTACTATAGTGATAGAGTTGAACACAAACAGGGTAACTAAAGTTATTATAGTAGTCATCAAGTCATGTTTTTGTTCGATTTTCATGTATGATACCTAAATATACAAGCTTTTTTACATAATTGATATCCATTGAAATGTTTAAACGACGATTCAATCAAAATATCGAACTTTTTGATTAGATTTTTAGTTCTCCGGTTGTAGCGTTGATGACATTATTTTTACTTTTAGTGAGAAGATAATTTTAGTTCCCGGCTTCAAAAGGTCACCTGCATTTATAATCCCCTAAATATTGTGAGTTTTATATTCTATATCCCTCTACTATGATTTTTACATAGTAATGTAGGATTAAAAATGTCAATATGATAATAGTTGAAGGGTCAAAAGTGTCATTTTTAGGAAAATTGAAATACTAAATATGAAAATATTGAAAGACGGGTCAAATAATATCTTTAGCACAATAGTCAAAAGACTAAAAATGAATAATAAAATTCAAAGTCGAGTATCAAAAGAGTCATTCACGTCTGACGTTATAGTCAGAGGACTAAAAGTGGTAAAAACATGTTTCAGTTAATCGATCCATCTCAAGGTAACATCAAATCTATGGGCTTAATCATTATTCCAAACATAGAGATGCTTTATTTAATTGTATTGAAATTTGAAGTCTGATCTCATCTATTTAAATCAAATCTAATTTAATAATTTTCTAATTCATGTAAACTTTACTATCGTTAAAATGTGATTTGATATGATTTGATCTAAGATTGAAATCATTACAATTAGAAAAATCCTTAATTAATGTCATTGTTATTTCAAATGGATTAGTTTTACAAAACCCTGATGGAATATCAATAACTAGCGAATTACATATCAGGGTTCATCATTAGTCCCACGGGAAAAAATTCTTATAACAACATAATCAATGATAATATATCACATGATTTTGAAAAAAAAAAATCTCTTGGAAATGTTTTATAATTTATGTAACATATTTATATCAATACATATAATTAAGAATTATCTTAGCTTCCAAAATTTTAATGTTGACTTTAAGAAATAAACTTTAATTAATAAATTACGGAGTATAAGAGCTTCTCCAACAATCACCATTTCATACACCAAAATGGTGTTTTTGTCAAATTTTTGCTCCAACAACAACACCATTTCTTTCACCATTTCACCATTTTGGTGGAGAGGGTTTTGATTCACACCAAATATGGCGTACACCATTTCATACACCATCTTCTTTTTTCAATTTTTTTTTATTTCAAATGTTACCCAAAGTTTTGATTCTTATAATTTTGACTCATTTCTCAAATTGAGCTCCACAATGCTTTAATTGATCATTTGTGGTAACAATTCTCAAATTCCGATAACTAAACTAAGAATATTTATTTAATGTTTTGCTTTAAGTTTAAGTAATACTTTATTAATGACGTACAAATTATTATAATATTATTGTAATATTTGATTTTATGTGGTTTTAGCTTGTATTTGTGAAATATTGATTATTGTATTTTAATTAGTGAAATGCGTGAAAATACATATTAAAATGGTGTATTTTAGTTTGTATGTGTGAAATGTCAAAATATTAAATGAGGGGCTAATGTATAAATATATGATAATTAGATACTTAAATAGAAGAATGGTAAAAAGTTAGTAAAAAGAATAAAAAGCGAATATTCCTTTTTGGCGATGAAAATGGTGTAAACGGTTGAAAATAAAATAATGTATGATGTGATGTTTACACCATTTTAGTGTACAAAATGGTGTAAACTGTTGAAGATGGCCTAAGACTTGATATTTATTTATATAGATTGAATAATTTATTATTATTCTTAGCTTGTTATGAATCTTGTGAAAAGTAACTATTATTGTTATTTATGTATTTAATTAATATTTATCAATAATATAAAGTTGTACTCGTATTGTATTTTGCTAATTTTGTACGGTATGTGTTTTGTTTACTGTTTTATTAAGTACAATTTCAATTATTTCTTAAAAGCATAGGTGTAAAAAAGAAAAAAAAAGCATACCTTATATTTCTAAATTTAGAATAGTCTCTCACATCAATGCAAATAAAAATAAAATATATGTCATATTTTATAAACTAAAATATTAATTCCCATTTTTTAGTTTTAAAAGAACCGTACAACGCACATAGTTTAAAAATATAAATTTTGGAGTCATATTCTTGAAATTTCATCTAATCTAAAATAAAATTTAATTAATAATAATAAGAACTGCTATCAATCATACGGAGTAGTTTATACAACAAAAAATGGATGAGATGGTCAACCGGCCCACATCCAGAACAATAAATACATTAATATAAATAATAATATGGATGAGATGTCTTTCTATTTCTTTAATTTTAGTATGATAAAATAGATATGGGTATATATAATTCATGATATTTATAACCTTAATTATTTTGTCCTATTTGATCTGAGATCCAATCTTTTAGTTCCCAAAATAAATGGATGAATGAAAGATATACTAACCTCGTACCTGCAACGCTTGAGTGGTGGCGGCAGCCGGAGTAGGCGATGGTATAGCAGCGGCAGCAGTCCCGGCATAGCCGGAGAACATGAAAGAGCTACCGGTGGCGGCGGGGTAAGATTGGAACTCGCCGCTTTTCTCCTGCGGCGGCGCTTCCACCGGAAGTGGTCGCTTTCCATACTTCTTATCCACCTTCCCTCGCTTAGAGATCGAACACCACGTTAGACCTTTTGACTTTTCCTAGCCTTGTACTGTTTAGAAAGAAGAATTTCTCTTCATAAGTTCATATGAAGGAGGCCGGAGATCTATCAAGGGTTTTGCTATTAGCTAGAGGCTAGAGAGAAAAAGGGTTTCTTTCCTCTTTTCCCTTCAAAGAACTGAAGAAGTTGATATATAGGTCTTCTTTGGTATTCGAGAATTCTTTTCAAGAATTTAAGAAAAAGGGTGATAGGCCGAAAACCATTATTACTTGTATAAACTAAAGATACTTTTGTTTATCGCCGTATTGAACTTTGTTGATACGGAGTAATAGATAACTATAGAAGCCAATCCCATATTCCCATCAATAAAAAAAGAATCTATTCACAACTAAAAACAGAATCTATGTTTCGTAACAAGCATATCTTTACATCAATCATGCTTGATGTACACACCCTTGTACACATCTTATACACATCATGTTTGTGAAGTTTTTTTTTTGTCTGTGAATCCGGTTCACAGACAATATTTTGTTTGTGCAAAACAGTGTTTGTGAATCGATGTTCACAGACAAAAAAAAAGCTTTCACAGACATAAGTGTGTACAAAAGTGTGTATAAGAGTGTGTACAAACATCATTTTTGTCTTTACATTCACACCAATTTGTAGGGGTGGGCAAAAATCCCGATTCCGGTGTCCCAAACCGAAAAATTTCGATATCGTTTCGAAACTATCCCGATCCATTTAGGATGTAATTTTTTCATCCCGGACCGATCCCGTGCCGATATTAATTGGGATGGGACCAGGATAACTATAAAATATCATGTCCCGTCCCGATATCCCGTTTGAAATTAGTAGATTATTTTAAATTTCAATTCTAATGCTATGTAATAGCCAAACCCAATTAAAACCTTCTAGCCCTTAGTCTCCCTAGTATAATTTTATCTTATTTCATGTCTCTCCTAGTCTCATTTCTTTTGTTTTTTTTATTAAAATTTGTTTAGTTCTCATTCCGATACTACTCCATAATATATTATTACGTGCGAAAGATTATTTATGATGGAATAACCAGTACTCCAAAATATAATGTTGTTATAGATTTAATATTTTCCAAAATACTACTAGAAAATATAGTCTTTATAGATTATCTATAAAATTTAATTTAATGTGGTATTGAAAAATTACAAGTGTACTACAAAGTATAAAAATATTTTGCGCTACTAATCTACTAGAGGAAACACAAGATTAGGGGGACCACAAAAATTTACAAGACAACATTTTAAAATAGTTAATTAGAGGTTTAACTTAACTTTTTAGAGAAGCTAAATTTGCAAAAATAGTTACGTCTTTATTTTGATGTTATGCTTATTTTTATATCACATTTCATAAATGTATATTTTATGGGACATCCCGGACCATCCCGATTTTTCTCGAGATGTCCCGGCCCCGTTTTAAATGGGACAACATTGGGATAAAGGTTTATCCCGAACCATATCGGACCGTTACTATAAAACCGGATCGGGATCGGGATAAATCAAATCCCTAACCGTCCCAGACCACGCCCACCCCTACTAATTTAAGGAAAATTACATTTGTACACAAAGTTAATACATAAAATGTACAAACACTCTTGTTATTTGTGTACGGAGACAATTGGCTTAAAACTATTAATTACTTGTTAATTGCATGTGTACACAAGCAGTATACAATTAATATATCAGTTTTGTATAAAATTCACCAAGAATGATCCAAACTGGAAAAAGGTAATATTTGTATCTACGACATATATTCAATTCCACCTCTAAAGGCTCAAATTGAGCAAAAAATACACTAAATTTGATCCAAAACGTGGTGACAAATTCGTAAATAAATCAAAGTTTTTTGCTATCGCGAAAAAGTGCAACTGAAACATGCAATAGAGTAACTCGGTGAGAAAAAAGTGAAATCGTTCACACTTTGCAAGGGAGCACCTCTTTTTATATTAAATCTTCCATATATATATATATAGGGCTGTTCTGGTGCGTCCGTCCGCAGGAGAAGCGCCGTCCGGCCGACGGCGTTTGGCCGTCTTCCCTGTAGAATTTTTTGATGAAATTTTTATGACATATTTTTCATCAAGTCTAGTTTATCCACAAAACAAATCAGCTAAAAAATGAATCTAGAAGGTATTCAAATGATTTTTTGAATTTAACTGTGCAAAATTACACACAAAAAACGCAGTCAACTTCAAAAAATCATTTGACGACCTTCCGGATTGAGTTTTTAACTGAATGTTTGTGTGAATAAACTAGACTTGATGAAGAACGTGCCATAACAATTTCATTAAAAAATTTCACCGGGAAGGATTCCAAAAGCCGCGGCCAGACGGCCCCTGTGGTGCGGCCGGACGCACATGAATACTCCTCTCTCTCTCTCTCTCTCTCTCTCTCTCTCTCTCTCTCTCTCTCTCTCTATATATATATATATATATATATATATATATATATATATATATATATATATATATATATATATATATATATATATATATATATATATATATATATATATATATATATATATATATATATATATATATATATATATATGGAGTGGGGGAGCGGTTCCGGTAAGAACGGATCTTAGTAGAAAAATAAGAACGACTCTGGACCGTTGGATTGAATTATGTGGAACTAAACTGTGCATTTGGTGAAACCGCAATGTGCAATAGATGATATTTAAATGTGCAGAATAAAAATTTAAACTCACATGTGCATTAGGTGAAACTGAAATGTGCAAAATAAGGCGTACAAAAATAACATCACATCGTACATTTTGTTCTGCACATTTTAGATCCATCTAATGTTCATTTCAAATTCACCTAATGCACAATTTAGCTTCACATAATGCCACAACATTGTACCTTTTGTGTTACACATTTCAATTTCACTTATTACACATGACAACTTCATCTAATGCATATTGAATTTCACATAAAGCAAATCTAACAGTCCAGATTCATTTTCATTTTTCTCATAAGATCATGTTCTTATTTGAACCAAAACCTAGGGAGCGGTTCCGATAAGAACAGGCTCTCAGAAGAGAAATAAGAATGAATCTGGACCGTTGGATTGTATTTTGTGGAACGGAAATGTGCATTTGATGAAACTCATATGTGTATTACATGATACTGAAATGTGTAGAATAAAAATTTAAATTCAATTGTGCATTAGGTGAAACTGAAATGTGCGGAATAAAATGTACAAAAATAACATCACATCATACCTTTTATTCTGCACATTTCAGTTTCAACTAGTGCAAATTTCAATTTCACCTAATGCACAATTCAGCTTCACTTAATGACATTGTATCATACGCTTTGTGTTGCACATTTCAATTTCACCTAATGCACATTACAGTTTCATCTAATGCACATTGAATTTCACTTAAAGCAAATCTAACGGTCCAAATTCATTCTCATTTCTCTCCTAAGATCATGTTCTTTATTGAATCAAAACCTATATATATATATATATATATATATATATATATATATATATATATATATATATATATATATGTGTGTGTGTGTGTGTGTGTGTGTGTGTGTGGTGCGGTTCCAATGAGAACGATGCTTAACGTGAGAACGTGAGAACAAATCCTGACTCTTAATCTTGTGGAAGGAACGATGATATAATTGGAAGATGCACAGTTCAGTGGTGCACTGCGTCACATAATTACGTATCATGGAAACTAATTTCAGCATACGCGAAGTCATTAAAGGGTAGAAATGTCACAACACGAAAAAGCGACCTTCTATGGGTACCGTTTTTTAATTTCCACTTCCCGAAAAATTAGCCATAATCACGCATCGATTCCATTCACCACAAATAATCACAATCCTGAGTTCCTGATAAAAAATAAAGCAAGTGGGTTAATCCATTAACGATTGCATCTTTCGAAAAAAATCCATTAACGATTGCATAGTTTTTGTATTGCACGTGTATTTGAGTAGACTTTTTGCTTGTGTACCATTGAATTACAGTTGTGTTGTTGCATATCCTTCATTTTTGTGGGGAATAGGGTTCGCTTTATTTACATGTCATGCATATCGGTGTGATGTCTGAGTTGGAGTGAAGCTTTTTTTCAGAACAAAGTGAAATAAAGAAGAGTATTATTTGTGCATGTGAATCCAATAATAGTGGCAGCTAGTAGAGTTTGTTTATAAGTTGAAGTTTTTTATTTCTGAGATGACGATCGTGTTTGTCAACATTAATAAGAACTTAAATGTGAAAACCAAAATTGTGCAAGTAATTTGTGTTTTTATGCATAATCTAATAATAGGCAGAATTGATTAAATAGTACTTGTTCATAAGCTAATAGGCAGTAGTGAATAAATAGCTAAACAAGAGTATTTGTGCATGTGAATCAAATGGTTTTGAACTTAAATACAAATTGGATTTTCGTTCAAGTGTCTTTTTTATTTAGGTGAGGAACCTAGAATGTGATTAATAATGTGCACTACATTCCTTAATTAGTGGAAAATATAGTCATTAATACATGTGCAGGTTACAGACAACCATTGTGCAAGTCCTATTGATGGACGTACGAGTAACGAGTTGTGAGAAGCAAAAAGAGAATGATGGTGATGTTCCAGTGGTTTTTTAAATGCAAAAACGGGGAAAAGAAATTGCACAAAGCAGTGACTACGTTTGATCATAGAGTAAAATGAAGAAGATGATTATTAATGGAGGTTTTATAAAAACAAAAACAAAGTATTTTGTTTAAATACACGAACAAGTAACATCACATGAGAATAAATCAAACGGTGAATATTGTTTCCACCTAAACATGCGCAACATAAAATGGAAAGATCGGCCAATGCAACTGTCAACATAGAAGAAGACATAAATGTCCTCTAACATCCGTTATTTGATCGCAGATGACTACTTATTTTGGAGGACTGAGATGTGTTCTCACGTTCTCACGTTAAGGCTCGTTCTCATTTGAACCAAAATATATATATATATATATAGGATTATTCCTTTACGGCCTCCGCCGTTTGGGGAGGTTCCCGGTGGTATTTTTTTTTGAAATTTTTTTGTATGTTCTTCGTCAAGTCTAATTTATCCACACAAAATTTGAGCTAAAAATTCAATCGGAAAAGCAGTCAAATGAATTTTGGAACTTAATTGCGCCCTTTATTCAAATGAGAAGGGGCCTTTAGGTGAGAAATAAGAATGAATCTCAATCGTTGGATTCGATTATTTTGCAATAAAAACACTTTATATTGCCTTGAAATATGGAACTTAGCTTGGTGCAACATCGTCAAATATTAGTGCAGCATGAAACAGTTTTAGTGCAACACTGCAAAATTTAAATCTTATTACAACATGAAGATATTTTTA